GTTCCTAACAGGGAAGGACATTGACAATTTTGCACTGATGAAAATTTTGTTTGCCATTACAATGTCAAGGTTAATCATTCATTTCAAGTTGATCCAGCCTTCATTAAATACATCAGGTCCAGGAGTGAATGATGATGTATATGAATCACAAGGTAAGTTTTCCTGTTTTGGGATGTCTGGGTTTTATAGCAGGGACTTGATTTAAATGGATATTTTAATAACAGCATGCTCATTCTAATACTTTACATTATTATCACATCTTCTTTGAGCAGCCCAGTTCGATAGGTACTGCTAGTGTCATGATCACTGACCTGTCTTGCAAATGTGGTTTAGACAGATTACATAACTTGTCCAGTAACATGCAGCTAGTATGTGATTAAGAGTCAAATAAGATCATGATGGCGTGTCCTGTAAGTTTGTAGAGGATGTATCAAGTTCCCCTTGGTAACTGAAGCAGAGCCTTGGATGTACTCTGTGCTCAATTTAAGGTTTCAAGTGGTCCTGAGAGTTTGATGTGGGAGTTAGAAGGATTGGTATGTGAATAAGAGAAAGACAATGTAACGTTCTGTGTTTTTTCCTTTCAAAATATGGACATGATGAAGACTGTTCGCGTTTTGTTTGCTTGAGTGGAGGTCAGAAATATAAAATACAACTCCATAATTGTCCTTTCAATGTATATCTGGCAACTTCCTCCAAAGTAGTTAAAACTGCTTCCACCCATGATGTCTTCAGAATTGTAAAGGTAAATTTGCAAGTTATTCTTACAAAGAAAGATGGCATAAAAATCGAGTTATTGTTATCTCTGAGATATTGCCCTTTAAAAAACCAGATTGTTTTACCTAAATTATCAGTAGGCTGATTTAATCTCATTCCTGATGCCCAAATGCAAGGATACGGAAATGCCCTTATAACTGTGGAGAAGATTTCTGACCTTTAGTGGCCTGGTAGGAAAGTTATGAATTTCTGGATGTCAAAAAACTAACTTGGGGCGCCTGGGTGGCTCAGTGGGTTAAGCCTCTGTCTTCAGCTCAGGTGATGATCTCAGGGTCCTGGGATCAAGCCCCGCATCAGGCTCTCTGCTCAGCGGGGAGCCTGCTTACCTCTCTCTCTCTCTTCCTGCCTCTCTGCCTATGTGATTTCTCTTTGTCAAATAAATAAATAAAATCTTAAAAAAAAGAATACTTAAGAGTTGGTAAACAAAATGCTACAGGAACAGGTTCGGGGTGTTTAAAAAAAACAAACAAACCTAACTTAAGCAATGCTTCTGAGCTAAACAGCTGTGTGCATGGATCTTAGATAACTTCTCAAAGGTCTGGAGACTTACCTCTTCCTCTCCTTGGGGAAATGGAGTCAATAAAGTAAAGGATGCTGAGGATGACTTCCAGGGCTAAGCAGCTACACAAGTACTCTGACAACAGCTGCAGGAGTGCAAGTACAAGAGTAGTCTTTGTTGTCTAATCGAAATCGGAAACACTGCTTTCTTTTAATAGAGATCTAAGGACAGGAATAGTGTCACTCTCAGAAAGCTCCCGTTTGTTGTTTTGATTTTGTTCCTTAAATGCCTGACTTGATGCTGGCATGTCAAGACAGAGAGGAGAACTTCAAACACGTGTTGTCTGCATTTTCATCTCCTGCCCCATCCACCCTCTTCCATCATGTGCCACTCCACTGGTTACCCTCTGCGTCAGAACATCTTCATTTCCCCTAAACCTACAGACAAAAACCCAACACAGTCAAAGATTAGAAAATACCCATCCTCTTCCCAGACTCTTCTTTTGGGGGGTTGGGTGGGGTGGGCAGTGGGAACACCAGGACTGCAATTTGATAGAAGTGCTAGAATTGGAGAGTCTGAGTTGATTTCTTCCTTCTAGTATTACACATTGTGTGTGTGTGTGTGTGTGTGTGTGTAAAACTCAAGCTTTGACACGTGAAAAACTTGCTAAAAACTCAAATTCCTGGCCTCTTCTCAGAGACTTGTGCTTCATGTTCTGAGAAACCATCAGGAATCTGCATTTAAAAAAAGCATCTCAGAAGAGTATCATGCATTTTCTTAAAAAAAAAAAAAAACAAACAGTCATCATCTCTTTCACTTGTTTGGCATTTTCCAGTTTTCAAAATGCTTGCACATACATATTCAGTTCTGTGAGGTAGATGGGACTGATTATTCTCATTTTGAGGATAAGAAACTCCAAGTTTAGCAATGATTTCCTCAGGGCCTCACTACACACCCCTCGTTTGCCCATCTCCCTGTATTCCTCACCTTAGCTAACCTTTTTCCTTTTGGGTGTTGAACTGCAGGAGGCCAGGAACCTCCAAAGCCAGCCAGTACTATCTGTGTCTGCCTTCCTGAAGAATGAGGCAAGTCTTCTGGTAGCCAAGGAAGGAAAATGATTTTATTGGTGAAATGTGAACATTTCCCTAATTGACAGTGTCACTAATTGATTTTAAGTAATTCCTCTTGTCCTACTGGGATGCATTTTCGAAAAAGGATTCAGCTTCAGTTTTGGAGAAGATGTGTGTGAGTGTGTGTGTGTGTGTTTGCGTGTCTTTTTCACGTCTCTTGTTCTGCATGGTTAGAATCCCAAGTTCACTGTCCTTATTCAGTCACTTTGACTGCTGCAGCGGATTGTGTTCTGTGTAGACAGTTGGGATTCCCCCCTCTCAGGGTTCCTTGCTTGTTGAATCCTTCTCCTAGCTGTTGGGCTCATAAACCCCCTTCTGTCTGTGTTACGTCCAGCAGCACCATGAAATATCCAGGCCCCCAAACACCGTAGGGTTGTTTGACACAGTGTTCAGAGGCCTCAGTCCTTCTCCTTGCCTAAGTGAATTTCTGCTAGGTTTGTGCCCACATCTGGAGAGCTCCTGCTACCACTTCTCAGGGTCCCCTATCCATTTCTAGTAGCTTCCAGGCCTGCGTGTTCCTTGCCCTCTATTAGGATGTTTTGAACATATATGTGTTTCTCTTGGAAATCATCCATTTAATCTTCTGGCTCTACCCGTGATGCTTAGTGGAGAGACAGAAGGGGCAGGATTATCTGAAGACAAGTTGAAGAGAGATTATAAGTATAATTAATAGTCACATCCAGACCATAGCACAAATGGAAGGTTTCCAAAATCTTTCATGCTGCCTTTCAACTTGGGTGACAACATCTTCTCTGCTGAGTTTTCTGTAACACCCGTCTGCCATCACAAGCATCCTGGAGACCTGACTGCACTCCAGAGCTGGTTGTTGACTGCCCTTGCCCACAGTCACCCTCTCACCCCTCCCGCATTCTCCTCTCTGTGCAGAGCGCTCACTTGATCTCCCATTTTAAGGGTAGAACCTGCTCTGCAGCTTTCTGGATAGAACCAAGAAAACTGGGTTTCAAGGATGCAGAAGCACTTCATCCTGTTACAAAATGAGCTGAAGGTGGGACTCAACATGAGGGCCCAAAAGGTCATTGTTACTTTCTCTAGTGTCCACTGCCTGCCTTCCTTAACAGAGAATTCTGTGTGCTCCAGCTTGTGGGAGAGGGCGGCTGCTTTCCCTCAGCTCCTTCTCTCCTAACCCCTTCTTTGTGCACTCAGGGTCCTTTAACCGGCCCGTGGTTGTGTTTTCTCTTGGGGGAGGGATGGGACACAACAGACCCGAGCTGCAGTTCCTTCACTCTGCCTCTGAGAATTTCTCATCCAAACCTCAATCACGTAGGATTGCGTAGAGAGGAGAAAAGGGGAAAGACGGAAGACGGAGAAGGGGGAGAGGGGTGACGGGAGGGAGGGAGAAGAGAGTCTGGGAGCAGAGGGCGCCCGGGAGGGGAGGAGGACCCGAGCGCGCAGCGCGTCCCTGCGCTCCGCGAGCCCGACCCCCGGCCCTACCCCACCCGGGCGCTGTCAAGCCCTCGGGCGGGTGGGCGAGCTGTGCCAGAGGTACTCCGGCGGCCGCCGGCTCTTCGTTCCACCCTCCGTCTCCGTGGCTGTCGTCCCCGCCTAGAGTTTCCTGCGGCGCTAGCGCTCCAGCGGAGCGAGCCTGCTGGGCGGCGGCGGCGGCGGCAGCGGCGGCGCCCGGGAGCCAGTGAGGCTCGGCGCGCCCAGAGCCTTTGCCCATGAATGGGACTCCGCCCTGAGCGCCCCCTCCGGGGCCTGGGGAGGCGGCGGCGCGGCGGCTAGGGGCGCCCCGCTACCCCGCAGCTCTGAGCGGCCACCCGCGCAGCGAGTTGGCCGAGTTGGCGGCAGCCCGCACCTGCTCCCTGGCCTTGACCCCAGAGTCTGCGTCCGGCTCCGGGGGCGCGCTCGACAGCCTCCCGCCGTTGCCCCGGACCGCTTGGGGGCCCCGCCTGCGCTCCCAGCGCCAGACCATGGTGGGCAGCTCCGGGCCGGAGCCGCAGCCGCCTCGAGCCGACGTCGCCCGCAGCCAGCCCCTGCCCCGCCCGAGCCGACGCGCGGGGGTTCGCAGCGCGCCGGTCACTTCCTTCCTCGGCCGGGATGGGCTGCGCGGGAGCGAGTGATCGGCCTCGCGTCCGGCGGGTAATCCCCATCTGATCTGCTGCCTGCGAGCTGCGGACTGCCGGGCCGCGCGAGCCTGGGGGGCCCGGGCACCGCGGCGATGACCTGATCCCGAGCCCACCAGGGCGCCCCCTCCTTCCCTCTTCCCTCGCTCCCTCTGAGCCTGTGCGGAGACCGGCTCCGTGTGGCGGCACCGGGCAGACCATGGCGGGGAGCTCCAGTTAAGGCGTGTGGGCGCCGAGCTGGAGAGGACACCTTCGGCATCGCTGCCTTTTGAGGGGGCTTATTTAAACTACTGAGTCATTCCAGATTTAGGATTCCCTAAATAATCACCAACTGTGCCCGTCTTGTGCCAGAAAGCGAGCAGAAAGAGCAAGAGCGCCCGCTCTTGGGACCCCGCGCATTCCCGGCGCTCGCCTCTCGTGGGTTTCTCCCCGAGGGGTGCTTGGCCCTCGAGGATCTCCCTCCCTCCTCCGTCCCTCCCTCCTTCCCCGTCCCTCCCTCCCCCCCTTCTCCCGCTCTCATCGCAGCGCTGCTGGCGGGGAGTCGCGCGCACCGCAGCTGGAAACAGCTGCCCCCGCCCCGCGCCCCTACCCCGACTCCAGCTCACGGCTCCCACTTCACGCCTCTCGGAATTCCAGAACTCCGGCGGCCGGCCTCTGGAGAACCGCAGCCGGCGCGATGCATTCCGTAGACCTCACCCAGCCGGGACGGACCTCCTAATCTCCAGAACTGCGGGCCGCAGGGAGTTAAATTGCTGCCTTCCTCTCCTTCTCTCTGGCGGTTGGTGGCTTGTTTTCTAAAGGAACGTTTTATTCACTTTTTAGTATTTTCTACCGGGGGCTCGCTACCCGCCTCGGTCCGGACTCTGCTTTGTAAACGGGTTTTATATGTATGTATGTGTAGATATACTTTGGACACCTTACAACGCTTGCGCCTCTCCGACGGGGGCACGGCTTGTTGTTTTGGACATCCTTCTTACCCTTCCACTTGGTACTCTGAACGCAGTGTGACCAAACTCCCCACTGCCCCTCGGACGCGGATCGCCGTGGGGTGCAAGTTTGGGGTGCAAGAGTCTAGTTAACTGGAAGGCCTGGGACCGCCCCGCCCCCGCTGCCAGCGGTTGGGGAAGTTTACATCTGGATTTTCACACATTTTGTCGCCACTGCCCAGACTCTGACTAACCTTGTGGGCGTCGGGTTTTCCGTACTGCAGCCTCCTCAGATATTAGCACTGCCTCCCCGCGCCTGCCCTGTCCCTCCAGGCCGCCGAGGTCCTGCCCTCGCCCCGGTGGAGCGCGATCCCGAGGGCGCAGTGGAGCCCGGGGCCTGGGGCCCGCGCTGAGCAGCTATGGCTGCGGCGATAGCCAGCTCCTTGATCCGGCAGAAGCGACAGGCGAGGGAGTCCAACAGCGACCGGGTGTCGGCCTCCAAGCGCCGCTCCAGCCCCAGCAAAGACGGGCGCTCCCTGTGCGAAAGGCACGTCCTCGGGGTATTCAGCAAAGTGCGCTTCTGCAGCGGCCGCAAGAGGCCAGTGAGGCGGAGACCAGGTCAGTAATAGCCCAGGCGGTGGGCTCCCCAGAGCTGACACCTCTCTCCCCTTTTACAAAGCACCTGAGGGCACCCACCGAAGGGAACCAGGATCCCCCTGGCTCCATTCTGGCCCCCTTCTCCCTTAATTTCCAGACGTCTCTCTCTCAGTCACCCTCTGTCAGTTAATAGCTTCTTGTCCCATATTCAGGAAAACAGTTTGTATCTCGATGAAAACACAGTTTGACTAAGATGAGAGCTACATGTATAGATGCTCCTGGTCGCATAAAGCCTGTAGAATCCTTGAGGCAGCGACCATCTCATTCATAGTCTCTCTCTCTCTCATCCATCCATTTATCCATCCATACAGTGCTCATACTGTCTGCTGAGGATCCTAATGTAAATAAACCTTCTTCCCTCTATCTCCCATAACGTTTAGCATAGTTCTGGACGCAGACACTTAGTAGACACCAGATGAACTTAATTTTTTTATTTTTCAAACTCTTCCCCCAGGAACACATGATATTGCATCTTTCAGACATTCCGATGGATTCTCACCTCCCCGCTTTCCTGCATGCCCCTTCATTTCCTTTTACACAGACTTCTTTTTCCTATTCTCTTCCTCCAGGACTCTCCTGGTTTCCCAGATTCTGCTCATTAAGTTTTCTGCCCTATTGCTCCCATCCTTTGCACGCTCACACTTTCTTTTGGGACATTAAGGAAACAACATAGTATCTGCAATTTGGCCTAAGGGAGTGTGAAAAGAACCACAAAACTTTGGACTTAGCAGAGATTTTCTTGTTAAGGCCCTTCTGAAGTTGATTCTCCTCTTTGTCCCTAAACTCACATGGTTGGTCTCTATTGTGATCTTTATTTACAAAGGGAAAGTGGATACCTTGAGTTTCAGGGTGCTTACTCCCACCTTAAACCAGGCCAGCTTGAGAGAATGAAAGCAAAATTGCCCAGATTTGTCCTTCCACCAGACTTTGTTGATCCTCTCTGGGTGTGGCCTGCTGGGTCCTTTGCAATCTGGAGGTACTCTCCTCTTGGTGTGGTCAACTGAAAGGAAATATGGCCTAGAAAGCTTGCTCAGAGATCGGTTGACTGGTTTAGGTTAGCATCATTGCAATTCTGTGATGCACTCCTGGGTTCCAGGAATGAAACATGGGCTAGGGTCATTGGGATGAGGAAAACATTTGGAAAGTGTGGATCAGCGAAGTTCAGACTTAGCTTAGAAATTTAGGGTTAAGTCTTATGAAAAAACCATCTCATTTTCGTTTTTCCCACGGGTTTTCATGACACGAGTCACTTCACAGTAGACTCCTTTTCTCTGTGTTGTTGATCAAATAGGAAATTTTGGGAGTAAACGAAAAGACCATGATCCCAAGGCAAGAGCTACTAAATCTCTTTCGGTTTACATACAATTGATCTAGCCTACTAATTTCATAAAGTGAAGCTTTCTATGAAAACTAGGGTTCAATATTTATAGAATATATAATTCTTTTAGGGGAAAATAAAATCCCTTGTATTGTTGTGCAGGGATCATTTGGGGGTCATCGTCTCTAAGGGTTTATGTGGTCTGAATTCAATGTAACTCTTGTATTTCAGTCATTGAAGTGTGTTCTTGTATTCCAGTTGAGATAATTAAGTGATAATTGTGAATAGATCCCTCAGCCCCCTCAGTTCTAAACAAGGCAGTAAAAATAATAGGTGGGTGATATTTGTGAATGGATGAGCTGAACTCACTTGATCTTTGTGGAAGTTGATCTGGACATGAACAATTTGCAGGGTTTAATTTTACATGAGGGACATTACTTCTTGTGGCCCTTTCCGTAGCATCTCACTAGAAAACAGAATTTGAGGGAATTGCTGAGTTTATTGTTTTCTTCAGTGTTCACTTAATCGGCTCCTCTTTTTCATTTACTTAGTGTACATCTTGGCAGAGAGAATCCTGGCTGGTGACTTCTTTTGTTTAGCTAAAGTCTCACAGTAATGTGGCTGAGAGATCCCAGGCCCAATGCGAGGCCCACGGGCATGCATCTGTACACCGTGCACTTCAGTCTGGTCTGAAGCTTAGCTTAGAAGAATGGGGGTATGGGGTGTGGAAAAAGATTTGGAAAGATGTTAGTGTGCTATTATCGCTACTAACAAAGCCAAATAATTAGTCTGTTGATTTGCTGTCAGCAACCATGATTCACATAGCATGGGATGAGCCTATTTATAGAGAAGTAGCGCCTTCCACATCTCAATTCCAGAGAGGATTCTTAAACTGGATTGGGAGGAAGTTGCTAAACACCGAAAAGAAAAGCTATTTGAGGGAACCTGTTTTATAAGCATTTGATGTTACCTTCTCGTAATAGTTGAGTTATTCTTGAAATCACTTGCCCTTCTAAGTCATACACTAATGAACTATAAACTGAGTCACAAATGGTAAGAAAGTGGTGAAATGGAATCACTTGGCCTGATAAAGAATTTCCACTCTGAAATTCTGTTATTGAGACACACATTCCATTGACCAGACTCTCCAAGGGAATGAAGCTGAGGCAGTGAAACTAAATCAGATGTTGGATGGGAAAGGCCACAGTTGTTTTTCTGATTTCATGGCTGATATATTGTCTCTCAATTCCTTGTCTTCGTTCACCAAGTTCTGATATGTATAAGGTTGAAACTTTATAAATACAGTGGAAATATCGAAATCACGTAGTAAAGGTTTCAGATTTCAAAATCATGCGTGATATTGCACAATTAAAAAATGAGAGGTGATAGTGCAGGCCTCATATCACACGATTCCAGCATCATGGTGCACATCAGATGCTTTAATGATGCCATCCCGGGAGCATAGTGTGGAGGCTTCTCCTGGGATGGTGCAGCAAACGCCTGACTTTAGATGAGAAAACCTAGAATCAGGGCAAGTTGGTGGTTTATAGAAGGTTATGTAGCTAGATTGGGGCAAAATTGGGACTAGAACTAGATCCTGTTGATTTATTTTTCCTGTGGTCTTCACAACACAACACTGATAAAAGTATAAGAAAACTGGGTGCCCATGGGTCCCTGGGTGGCTCAGGTGATTGAGTGACTGCCTTAGGCTCAGGTCATGATCCTGAAGTCCCTGGATTAGGCTCCCTGCTCAGTGGTGGTGGTGGGGTTTCTGCTTCTCCCTCTGAACTTCCCCCTCTCTTGCTCTCTCATTCTCTCTCTCTCTCTCTCTCTCTCTAGTAAACAGATAAAATCTTAAGAAAAAAAGAAAACTGGGTGCCCTCTATTAAATGTTGGAAGTGATTTTGTAGATTTTGCATTTGTTTTTACCATTAGGAATTGCTGCTGCTGTTGTTACTTTTGTTATTGTTGTTGTTATTATTATTATTTTGTAATTAGAACAGGAATAGTGTAGAGTACAGGAGGTAACTGATGGAAGGTGGTATAGGATAAGTTAGGCAATTAGCGTTCTAAAATGACCATCCTATAGCGAGCATGCATTGTAGCAATACACCGAATAGTGAAGACACACAGACAGTGCAGGAATAGGTAGTTCCTTAGACACTGCATGGATTGTAGGTAGCTCTTTGGAAATGAGATGTTGTAGACCTTGACCAGCAAGTTGGCTGAAGTCATCAAACCATAAAAAAGCCTTTAGAACATTTGTGTTTGTATACTTTGTGATAAAGAAGGGAGCATTCTTGTGTTGTTATTTGAGTCATTTTTTATGTGTGGAATGTCTGTATGGGCCAGGTCTGCTGAAAATTTTGCTAACATGTTGACACCACTTTTTTTTTTGCGGCATTTAGGCTGCTAGTATATCCATGTGAATTACACAGGTCATTCATTTCCAACATTGTTTCTACTTTTGAGTAGAAATACCTGTACAAATGGTTGACTCCAAAAGCATTTTTTTAAAGATTGTATTTATTATTTGACAGAGAGAGAGACAGTGAGAAAAGGAACACAAGCAGGGGAAGTGGGAGAGGGAGAAGCAGGCTCCCCACTGAGCAGAGAGCCTGATGCGGGGCTCAATCCCAGGACCCTGAGATCATGACCTGAGCCGAAGACAGACACTTAATGACTGAGCCACCCAGGTGCCCCCAAAAGCATTTGTTTTGTTTCAAGTTACTGCAGGTAATGGATAGCATTCACAATCAAGAAAAGGAAAAGTGTTGACTCTGCTCTCAACTCTCAGAATGTTGGAAAGGCCATGAACCCTGGACATCATCCAGTATCACTCTTTTACTTTTCAAATGAGACCCTTCTGGAAGGCAGAGTAATGAGATAAGCCTAAACCTATGCATTTTATGTGATTTTAAAATTTTTATTATTTTTCTATATCATTTAATTCCTTCCTTTAAACCAAAGCCCCCCTCCCCACCCCACCCCAGAAAAAAAGTAATCAGGAAAAATTCCTAGCCTAAAAAACATTAGATATTTTGTATGACTTAAGTATTTGGTTTCCTAGGCCCCTCCCTTTTAAAAGTGATAGAGTGTTTTTACACTGAGTGGGTAAAATAAATCAAATAAGTGGTTATATCTTTTACTAAATTTTGTTGCTTTTCATTTGTCTTATTTTTCTGAGCCCTTATTTCTGCTGTTATAAAAACTGTGGTTATTCAAAATATTTTAGTATCCTTCCCGCTTGTTTTGGTAGATGTGTAGAATTTACCAGCACACTCATTCAACATTTTACTGTCAAACACATCCTTTTACGTAGATGAAGAAAACATTACAGAAAATAGAAACTTCAGTGAGAAAATTGATGAAAAAGGGGAAATAATGCTTAATCATGGGAACATAAATTAGATTTTTATAAATTGAAATACTTCCGGTCAATATATAGATCAACAATAGTTTCAGTATGACAAGTGATACTTTACATTTATAGCAAGTACTTTTATTGTATTTTCTTTTTTAAAAGTCTGACAATGTCTCAACTACAAAATCAGACTAAATAAATGCTATTTGGCTTGATGTCTGTTAAAACAAAACAAAACAAAACAAGCTTTTCTCTTTAGAAACCCACCCTAGGATTTCA